GGGGGGGGGGGGCTGCCTTCTTTTTTTTTTTTTTTTGTTTTTTAGGTGGTGGCGGAGGGAGGGAGGAACTCGCCCATCCTGCGGCCCCTTCCCCCTTTTCGGCTCCAGCAAATTAAAGCGATAAAGGGAGCGAGGGGGGAATCAGATAAAAGTCGCGTTGGCGGCTGGGGGAAGAAAAATAAAATAAAATAAAATAAAAAATGAAAATAGACGAGGGCACGGTCGCCCTGGTTGTTTGGGCTTTTAAACCACTCGTGCGGGAGCAGAGGAGTCGATCTGCCTGTGGTGTGAGTGTGCATCCGAGAGCAGATGCTTCAGGAGTTTTCCTTGTCTCTTCCCTTTCTTGAAAAAGAAACAAAAACAAAACCGAAAGAGAAAAACCCCAACCCCGAAACCCACCCTGCCATTGTTATGTGGAAACCGGATTCTTACATGGCAGGAATAAAAAAGCATACAGCCAGCGCGCACACACACACACACACACACACACACAGAGCAAACAAGTCCCCTTCCCCTCCCCCTCCAGTAAATACATGTCTGGCCCCTGCTTCGGTTTGTTTTGTAGTGGCTGTAGTGGCTGAAAAATAATCATCCCGGGGCCACCAGCTTACCAATAAATAAGGCTTTGTAAAAATTAAAACCCGCCATAACATTTGTCGTCTTAACCGTCCTGCACTTAACCTTGCGTCTCCACCCCCATCGGCTCTGTGCTTGGCGGAGAAGCGACCCAAAATTGAGGGGTCTGGGTGGTTGGGGGGGGGCTTTTTTGGCATGCTCCCTGCCACGTTCCTCCTCTGGCTCCTCACGGCGTTCAACCCCGCACCAGGCACAGGCACCCTCAAACCTGGACCCAGCCTCCGAGCAGGGCTTCTGCAGCGAGAGGTATCGGGTAGGTAGGTAGGTAGATGGATGGATAGATAGAGAGACAGATAAACGGAAGGAAGGAAGGAAGGAAGGAAGAAAGGAAGGAAGGAAGGAAGGAAGGAAGGAAGGACGGAAGGAAGGAAAAGGTAACACTGCCCACCAGCTAGGGTTGTTTAAATAAGGTTTTCCCCTTCGCTGTCACGAAATAGTTAAAATATTTCCGAGCCTGTCCGAAAGTGGCTTGAAATGTGCCAGTACCGGACATTGCTCTTTGAACAAGGCGAGGATTTAATTCGGGAAGAAGCGGGATTCCTTCTAATCCGAAATGGGCATTAGAAGATGAACTGAATATCAAGGCAGAGCTACACCTCTGATGCCAACAGCCCTCTCCTCTTCGCCACGCCGTCACTCGGTCCTGCCTTTGCAGGCAGGAGTGGCTGCTCCCCAGATATCGCCTCCCCAGGCTGCAGCTTGGGAGCATATGCTGGCCTTGTCCTGACCCCCCAGGCTCCCAGGGACAGACCGCGAACAAATTCTGCTTTCCTTCCCTGAAAGGTTCCCGAGGCGGGGGGCTGAGCAGTGTCCGCCGCCGCTGCTGGGCATTGCGAGAGCCCGAGTGGGGAGAGGAAAGCTTGGGCTCCTCTGTCGCCTGCCTCCAGCTTAGTGAAAAAACCGTACGGACAACTAGACCCTTGAATACACTTTTTTTTTTTCTTCCCCAAATTTAAAAGAAGTTACTACATCTGAGATTAGGAAGGGAACCAAAGTGTCCAGGAAAATTCCCAGTTAAAAATACTGTTTTGGGGGAAAAAAAAAAAAAAAAGTGAATGTTCATACAAAAACCTACCTTCTGGGTTTTCACCTCGTTCTTCTTTTTTCCTTTTATCTCTCTTTTCTTTCTTTTATCTTTCTTTCTTTCTTTTTCTTTCTTTCTCTTTCTTTCTCTTTCTTTCTGTCTTTCTTTCTTTCTTTCTCTTTCTGTGTCTTTCTCTCTTTCTTCCCCTTTCTTCCCTTTCTTCCCTTTTCATACCTTTTTATCCCTTGTCTTCCTTTTATTTCCTTTTCTCTTTTCTCTTTTCTCTTTTCTGTTATCTTTTCTCTGTTATGTTTTCTCTTTTTCCTTCCTTCCTTCCTTCCTTCCTTCCTTCCTTCCTTCCTTCCTTCCTTCCTTCCTTCCTTCCTTCCTTCCTTCCTTCCTTCCTTCCTTCCTTCCTTCCTTCCTTCCTTCCTTCCTTCCTTCCTTCCTTCCTTCCTTCCTTCCTTCCTTCCTTCCTTCCTTCCTTCCTTCCTTCCTTCCTTCCTTCTTCCCTTCCTTCTTCCTTTCCTCCCTTCCTCCTTTCCTTCCTTTCCCTCCTTCCCTTTCTTTTCCTCTCTTATTCTTCTCTTTCTTTATTTCTTTCTCGTTTTTTCCCCTTTCCTTTCCTTCTTTTCCTTTCCTTCTTTTCCTTCCTTCCCTTCCTTCCTTCCTTCCCTGCCCTCCCTGCCTCCCCTCCCCTCGCCCCGCTCTCTGCCCGCTCGGCGGCGCCGGCGGCGGGGCGCTTGGGGGGGACGCGGTGAATTCCAGCCGGAGCCCCCGCGGGCCGGCCCAGCGCCGCTGTTCTTTCAGGGCTCCAGCCCTACTCTCTCTGCAGGAAACAGAGGAGCTGATCCAAGTTCAAAGTCACGGCGCCGTCCCTCCTGAGAAGCGCTTTATTTCCCTCCGAACCGCAAACCCCCTTTCCCCCCATCTCACAGGGGAAGAAGGGAAGGGAGCGGGGGGGGCCGGGGGCCGAGGCACCGGCAGGCAACCCCCCCACCCCCG